AGAGAAGGGAGAAAGTACAGGCAGGAGGAGGACGGGGAAGAGAGGAGGGATGATGGACTACTGTGTCTCAGGAATGAGCTGTTGTTAATACTGAGTGAACTGGTCTCAGCCCTAATGCTTAGGCCATGTACAGGGAAAGGAGCAAAGGCCATGGAATGGGGGAGACTTGGGGTCAAACATGTTTGATACTGTGCAGGGCTCTGTGGGGCTCGCGGGCACAAGGTCCTTCTGTGTCCCCCATTTCTTTGATTATAGGAAACAGCTTTCATTCAGCCTCCATGAACTTCCCTGAGTTCCAACGGGCAGATTCAAGCAGTTGCTAGTTAGGGAAGGGAAGGGGATTCGAGACCAGGGAGAAACTTAACAGTCAAGAGAAACCATAGTGCAGCCTTGGGGGCAAGGTCCTGTTTCCCCATCAAGGGATACACACCACAGTATCCTTTACCCATTTTGCAGATACTGGAAACCCGCTGCAGGTGGAAGAAGTTATAACAATGGTACGCTGCCCACAAGCATGTAGACCCCAGAGCAACTGGCTGATGATGCTGACTCCCACTTACCTCACCACCAGCCCATCAGAAGAATGTCCACGAGCTGATCAGACCCTTTATAAACAATTACTATAAAACTTTTCACTATCTTCCCCAAGTTGGGACACATGGTTTTGAGGGCATTAGCCAGCTGTGGCCCCCTTTGCCTGGCAAAGCAATAAAGCTCTTCTTTTCTAGTTCACCCAAAACTCTGTCTGAGATTCGATTTGGCAGCAGTGTACAAGTTTTCAGCATAATGTTTGCTCCTTATAAGCTGGGTGACTTTGGGGAGGTGATTTAACCTCACTGAATCTCAATTTATCTGTTGGAAAATTAGGCAACATCAGTCTCCCCCCTTCCATCTCTGTCTCTGTCTGTAGGTTGTTGTGAGGATTAAATGATAAATGAAATAATTGATGCAACACATCCAGCGTAGTGCCTGAACCTAGTAAGCTCCCCTGAGGGCTGCTTCCTTCTCTTCCACCCCATTACTGCCTCCAATTGCTGTGAGGATTAAATTAGATAAGGTGCTTGCTAGCAGGACTACATACAGGTTTGTTTCCCGCCTCCTTCTCTTAAAAAAAAAAAAAAAGGCTCCCAAACTAGCAAAATTTCCTTCCAAAAGGGTGGGATTGGAAGTGGGCGATAAATTGCCTGGTTTCCCTCAGTGACTGTTTCCCAATTCTCTTTCTGCTCCTGCTGTCCTCTTCCATGTTTACCCGAATTCTGGCGTATGGTTGTAGAAAATAGATCCTTTGATGGTTTTGTCAAAATATCTTGGGAGCCAGAGGAATGAGGACCAAGTTAGTCATCCTTTCTGCAACTACAATCAGGAGGCGATGTTTATCTTGCCCAGCCAGATCCTGCACTGAAATATATAGTACAATTAGATGTCCTTGAAAAATGTGGCTTGTGGATGTTCTGTAACCAGGGATGGGTAAGTTTGTTCCTTTATGAATCCATAAGTACTCATCAAAGGCTGGAGGTGGTCACTGAAATAGATTTTGGGAGTCCAAATCACAATGATCGTGGCATGGTGGCTGAGGAGGGGAGCAGTTATGGGGCCTAGATTAAAGACTTGATGTCAGCACTATCAATAAAACTTTCTAGATGATGGAAATGGTCTATTTCTGTACTCTCTGATATGGCAGCCACATAGTTGAGCATTTGAAAGGTGGCTAGTATGACTGAGGATTCAAGGTTTTAATTTTAAGTAATTTAAATAGCCACATATGGTTAGAGTAGCATTATATAGGGCTTCCAAGGTGCACAGTGGTAAAGAATCCATCTGTCAATGCAGGAGACATGGGTTCAATCCCTGGGTTGGGAAGATATCTTGGAGTAGGAAATGGCAACCTGCTCCAATATTCTTGCCTGAGAAACCCCTTGGACAGAGGAGCCTGGTGGGCTACAGTCCGTGGGGTTGCACAGAGTCGGACATGACTAAGTGCACATGAGTGCAAGCAATATACAGCCTGCAGCACCCCAGGAGCCCCGGCTTTCACATGGGTGGGAGTCTCATCTGGGCATGATTTCCAGCTGTACCCAGGGTACCTGATGTGGCCGAAGGGCTGTGCTCCCTGCCAGTGAGGGAAATTAGGCTGAGCAGATTAGGACTGGAAGGGCTGAGGTGGATCTGGGGGGAATTTGGAGGACCCAGGGGACGGGAGGGTGCGATGCAGGCTGCAGCTCATCCCTGGAATCTCTCTGGGGCTGGGGGTTTGGTTCAGGCTGTCTTATCTCACAGTCCCGACCCTGTATCTTCACTGGATATCCCTGGAGCAAGATGAGTGGCTGGTGAGAACGAGACCCAGGTGCTGCCTCCAGGGGACTCCTATCTGTCTTCTTGGGATAGCACCTTGTGCGCAGAGTATAGGAGGGGGCTGGTCTCCCCTGAGCCCCCCTGAAGGAGGGCCTCTGCCTACCCTGCCTCAGATTATGCTTAAGAAGGAGTGATGGCCTGGCACAGTGATTTTGGCAACTGCTGCGTGAGATAGTTGCTGCTGCCCTAATGTGATTCCTTGGTTCTCCTTTATAGGAAAAGGTTTCCTGTGAGTTCGTAGCAGCAGTGTGTGGTGATCAGGCATCTGGACTCCCTGGCAATGGAAAAACTCAGCCCGGCTTGTGGCAGCTGCTCTCCCCTCCCCCTTCCTTCTCTTGACTCTCACCTCCTGACCCCATCTCCCTGCCCCCAGTAGAAGTCCTCCGGCAGGACCCAGTCCCTCACTTCAGATGCACAGCCCTGCCCAGAAAGGTGAAAAATGACCCTGTCTCTTTCCAGCTGATCTCAAGGAGAAAGCAAGACCCTTCCCCACCTCTCCTCCCTCCCTCAACCCCATAGACAGACCGTGGGCAGGTCACTGAGATAAAAACCACTTGACTGATTGTAGGGAGTGCTCAGTCACTTGTGTCTGACTCTTTGTGACCCCATGGACTGTAGCCCACCAGACTCCTCTGTCCTTGAGATTTTCCAGGCAAGAATACTGGAGTAGGTTGCCATAGCCTCCTCCAGGGGATGGCCTGGGTCTAAATGCAGGCTCTGCTAAGAGTTCTTTTTGTGTCCCTCGGCAAATGATTTTCTCTTATCTGGGCCTTTGTTTCCTTGTCTGGGAAATGTGGAATTGAACAGTTTCTTGAAATGCTAACATTCCAGGATTAGAGTAGATCCAGTGAAATGTGATTATCTGAGAGGCTTAATCACTCCAGGCATTTGAAAGAGGAGCAGGTTAACAGAAGTAAGTGTCTAATTGGCAGCCTGGAGTGGGGGATCTCCCTGAAGCAGGAGGCCTTCCAAATTCCCTCACCTGCTCAGGCTGCCTCAGGTGCCTCAGGCTCCTCCACCCCTCCAGGAAGGACAGCTGAAGGGACCCTCTGCCCCTCAGGCAAGAAAGATCCTGCCCTCACTCCGAGTGCTCTCAGAAGCGATCTGCTGTTCAAATGGATTTCTGTCATTCCTGGGCTGCACAGAAGGGCAGTCTGGCTGGAGAGCAAAAGTTCAGATAAACAAAAGACTCCTGTGCCGTGGGAGCTTGAACTTGGGAGTGTGGTAATGATAGGAATGCCAGCCTGGGAGTCAGAGGGACCTGGGTTCTAAGCCTCCTTCCAGGCGAAGCGACCCTGTGGACTTCGCCTGGCTGTTGTGGGCACCATGAGGAGTCTGGCTGCACCAAATGTTTTTTGTGTAAAACGCTGTGCAAATGCAAAGCGGTGCTGAGGGCGTTCACCTTCTGTAGCTACAGATATCTGCAGAGTAACAATCAAATGGCACTGGGCTCCTCCCAGGGCCGTGAGCCAGTGCTGTGAACAGTAAGATGCTAAATCACTCCAGAGCTGTTTTAAGGATTAGGCAGAAATGTTAATGGCAACAGATGTCGGCTTGTTCCCTCCAGGAGGATTTAGGTTTCAGTGGAGTATTTCTCTGCTGGCTTCTGCCCAAATCATGGCCACAGCCCTTTTTCTGACCTCTAGTTCAACCCAGCAAGCAGAAGGGGCTTGCTTTCTCCCCTGAGGCTGAGAAGCAGAACTTCTAGGGAGGGCCTCAATAAGACAATGATCTCTTGTAAGATGAGCTGATTCAAACTTTAGAAAAAATGGGGAACCACAAATGTAGTTTGGAGCCCAGGTTTTTCCTGGCAGCCATGAAGAGAGATGAAAGCACTGGGTTCTAGCCTGGGTTTGGAGAAGCTTCCAAGGCTCTGTACAATGAGACCTGGTGCTCCAGGCTTTCCGGATCTAACATTCTGTTAGGGGAAACACACTGACTGAAACCGCCCATCCTGGTCAGGCTCCACAGTAATCACTTGCAAGAGTTATTTTACCACAGGAGGTCCTGGTAAGGAACGTGGAACTAATAAGCCACCACCAACTGCAAGAGTTCGGGAAAGGTCAAAAGGAGACACCCCGTGACCTACCACTTTCCAGAATCTTCCTTGCTGGCATCCATTTTGGCTGAGCGATGCATGTGCCACCAGGAAGGACCCTGAGTCAGAATGATTGGCCAGAAAACCTGGAAACTAATCCCGTCACCTTTAAACCTGAGACGTCGAGCCATATGGAAGAGCAGTCCTCCTGGGTTCCCTTACTCTCCTGCTCTCTGCCCCTATGCCCCTTCCCAATAAGTCTCTTGCTTTATCAGCTTGGACAATTCATTTCTGAGTGTCAGAAAAGAGAGCACTCTCTGGTCCTGGAAGGGGTCCCCCTTCCTGCAACAATGCTAGGGGACCATGTAAATAGATGAAGAGAGCAGCCAACCAAAGGACTGTTCCAGAAAGTATCAGGCTTTCTCCTCCAGCACTTTTCAGCGAGGAGGCCACATTCTTGGGGAAAGAGAGAGGCGTGTGTTATCATCCTGGTCTGGAGTCTGTGCAAACAGCAGATCCGGCAGTAGCTCCAGGAAAAGACTCTGGGGAACTTGTGAACCTTCAGACGAGCGGCTGCATTCTGCCCTTCTGACGGCTCCCCTGCACTCACCTTTGAACGGGGACTGGGCTCGAGTCACCAGGAAGAGGCTCTTGCTCCTCTTGCTTTGCCGCTCTTGGCGGGTGTGGTAGCCCAGCGTGTTGCAACGACCCTTCTTGCAGCTCAGACACAGGCCTTGGCTGAAGCTGTCCATGTCCCTGCACAGGTAGGCTGTGCTCTGCATGTCAGCGTGCAGCAAGGAGTCGATGAAGAGGTGCACTGACCGCTCATGGGCGCATTTAACGGTCTGGGTGATGGCTGGAACACAGGGCAAGAAGGACGTTATCATCCCTTAATCCGGAGGATCGCCTTGCTTCTCAGTGCAGAGTAGCACCATCTCAGGAAGGAGGATGGGAGTGCTGAGGTCAGAGGTCAGCCCACTGACTACAGTGGTTGGCATAGCTGGCGGAAAACTCCACAAAGAGTAGACCGTTTGCAGGCACTTAGTGCAGGGGCAGAATCCCAGGCTCTGAAGGGCTGCCCAGGGCACTCTGTATGTTACGGTAGGTGTTTTAATAGGAGCCCCGAGTCACTAAGAAAATACTGAGTTCTTTAAGCAAGTGTGTGTGTGTGTGTTAATCGCTCAGTCATGCCTGACTCTGCGACCCCATGGACTCTAGCCTTCCAGGCTTCTCTGTCCATGGAATTTTCCAGGCAAGAGTACCGTAGTGGGTTGCCATTCCCTCCTCCAGTAGATCTTCCTGACCCAGTGATCCAACCCAGCTCTCCTGTGTTGCAGGCAGATTCTTCACCATCTGACCTACCAAGAAAGTTCTTTTTAAGCTATTCATTTTGGAAATATTTTAATCTCAAACAGTTAAAAATGCACACCTGCTGATACTCTAAGGCTGAGTTGGCAGAACAGGCTTGTGTGGAATGCCTCTTTTTATTTATTTAATTAAAAAAATTATTTTATTTTTGGCTGTGCTGGGTCTTCGTTGCTGCATGCAGCCTTTCTCTGGTTTCAGAGAGCAGGGTCTACTTTCTCATTGTGGTGCACAGGCTTCTCATTGTGGTGGCTTCTCTTACTGTGGAGCAGAGGATCTAGGGTGTGTTGGTTTCTTCAGCAGTTGTGGTGCACAGGCTCAGTTGCCCATAGCATATGGGATCTTAGTTCCTGGACCAGGGGTGGAACTCATTCTCCCTGCAGTGGAAGCGGGGAGTCTTAACCGCCGGACTGCCAGGAAGTCCCTGGAATGCCTCTTTTCTTAATAAAGCTGGCTAAGCCAGTGCCCAAGCACTCTTGGGATAGGCTACTGGTCTGGTGAGGGCTGAGGCCTCCCCCATCATGTTCCAAAGCAGCCACAGCCTGCCGAAGTAACTGGCCAGATGACCAGCATGGGGCTTTGCTTTGAGAAGGATGTGCTCCAGTGACTGGGTCTAAATGAACCTAAGCCAAAACAAGTTTAGAAGGTTTCCGTACCAAGGGTTTTGACCTTGTTTGGGGAGGGAAGGTTGTTTTGGGGTCTCCAAATCTTAATCTTTAGTGTTCTCTAGGAGTGTTGAGGAACCACCATAAGGTATGGTAAGAACTTCCTGTGAAAATGGACCCCAGGTAGCTTAGCCAAATCATTTTCCCTAGGATTAGTCATGTCAGTTCCTGGTCACGAGCGGCTCTATTTGTTGAGCACCCATTATGAGGCAGGTACTACTGAGTACCTTCCCTGGATATTCACCACAGCTCCTCAAGGCAGCTCTTACAAGTGAGAAAACTGAGCTTCAAAGACAGTCTCTAACTCACACAAGCTCACCTAGCCAGGAGGTGGTGAGGATGGTAAAGCAGTTATCAACTGACCATGTCAACACGTTCACCCCGGAATGGGATCACTTTCAAACATAAGGGTGAAGAAAATGGAGAAAAACCACCCTAAGGTGGGCAAGATAAATAAATATATTTGGTCCCATCATTCTGACATTTAGCACAAAATAGAAAATGGTAGTAATTGGGCAGAGGCATTCACCAGGTGATCAGCTAATGAACAGCATCTAGGGGTCTCTGTTGACTTTAGGGAGGGTGTAGATCTGGGAAGAGGGCTGGCTGATCACCAGGGACTGCTGGTGACCAGAGGGCAATGATAGGAGAGAGATGTTAAGGAATGATAAGGGGAAGTTCCCAGAAAGTTCTCAGGCGTGGGCTGGTGAAAGGCTGGGAGTCCAGCCAAGATGAGATAATGTCGAATGTGAAGGTCATTCTGATACAGGAGAGATGAAGGTGGTTAAAGAAACACAAGATAGTGTGTGCTTAGCTCAGTTTTCAAATGATTGGGAGAAGGTGGTAAGTGGGGGTGGGCTGGGGGTCTCCAGTTGGCTTAGAGTGAGTTGGCAGGTGTTAATCAGGATGTTATTTTCTAATAAAGAGAAACTTGGAATGCCTATGAAATGTATGGTTTTTGCTCACATTTTTGTTCTTTAATCCAGGGCCTGTTATCAAGGTTCATGTTAATATTTTGGCTTTAGGGTTTGAGAGAGAAGGGGGAAATCATGACCCAGATAATGCCACAGTCATTTTCTGCACTGAGACAAAGTCCCAAGGAAGTCACAAGGACCTATTTAGAGCTGAACTTTGAACTGGAAGAATCTCAGTAATGAATGTCTCGTGGGGTCAGCTGATAAAACCTCATGCTTGGAAGACCAAGAAGCCATGATCTATTAAGTGGATTAGCCTGGGGCCAGAATAGAGGCAGCCCCCTGAATGAGGAAGCTTCTGGAGAAAGAGGAATGACCACAGGCAGCAGGGCTCAATTTTCAGAAGGGCTGATGCCCCAGGAGAGACTTGTCTGGGTATGATGAGTGGAGATGAGAAGTGGGAATTCCTGGATGTGCCCTCAGCTCATCCTCCGTGTCTGAGCTCCAGCGACCACTGCCTGTGAAGAGGAAGGTCTTCCCTGGGGAACAGCACCCTTTCCCACACACACAAGCCCTCTCTGCATGGAGTAGGTGACCAAAGTGTTGAGCCCCATCCTTGCCAAACTCCTCCCAGAATCTCACAGATTGGATTCCCCTGCATCCAGAGGCCACACCAACTGTGGGGAGTGTAAGCCATTGTAGGCTAGTGTCTCTTTCTCACCATTTAAGCCATGCTTGGCGAAATGTTTGTAGAGCTCTAGGAAGTGGCATCCGGGCTGGTAGGAACCCCCATTGGGGTAGAAGTCATAGTGTGCTATGGGCTGTTTGATGCCCACACTCAGGCCCATGTGCTCCCAGGTAAAGGTGTGAATGGCATCCACAAAACTGGCGTCATCCGGTGAAAGCCGGTCGCTGAGGGAAGCTTTTTCAAACAAAGGGCCTGCGGCATCCAGCCCTAGGAGGAAAGCAAGGGGAAGGATCAGATTGGAGCAAGAGGAGGCAGGGAGAAAGGCTCTTTTTAGCTTTCTGATGTTATTGCACATTCATGAGCTAGCAGGAAGAAGAAAATCCTAGGGCATAATCTTTCTCTAGAAAATCTTGCCATGACTTTTTTGCACTAAAATTAAAGTAATTCATGGTGCTTAAAATCGGACACAGGCTGCTTATTATCTATGGGGAAAAGAGGTTTGCAGGAACTATCCAGTGGTAGAAATGAGGTTATAAGGGAGTGCTTGATTTATTTAAGCAAATCAGTTTTAAGTACCTTTCAAGCTACTTTCGAGAGCATCTGTTTGCATACAAAAAACCACTGTGTTATTGTAAGTAGTCCTAACCTACCCATCAAAGAAAGAATTTATTTGTCTGCATGTTGTCAATAATTTCCCTAAACAAGCTGGCTTTCTCTCTACACTAATGTCATTTCATTGGAATGTTCAGAACAGCCTTAGGACATTACTGTTCTCTGGGGAAAATGTCAGGAGCAAATAGGACAGCTCATAGCTCTGGTCCTTAAGTGACAGATATGTTTGCATGAGACAAGTGGCAGTCTCTGGCAGACTATAGTTGGGGAGTATTTATGCACTCAAGGAGTATTGTCTGTCTTTCTTGCTTTACCTTTTCTGGAGGACCCCTTGTTGACCTGTATCAGGCCTGGCTTCAATCCTTGGTGGGGATGAAGGAATTGACACGGGGCCATGACAGTCCCTGCTCTCCAACCCTCACCTGTAGTTACATGTGAAGGCTGTGATTTGTATTTCTTTCTTCATCAGGCTATGAGATGACAACAGAGTAATTAGCTGTCCTGTCACTTCTGATGTGTGTGGGCCTGGCTAATAATGCCTGGTGTGGCCTGTGACACCAGCCAGCGTGGAGAGGGTCCCAGGCCCAGTGCTGCCCCTCTGCAGTTCTGACTTCTCCTTCTAGGCCTGGTTTGTCTGTGAAGGGCCTCAATGGCCTTCTGTGATAAGTTCTTATGGGAGGTCTGTTCACTCCCAGCCTATTGAGGGTTAAATCATGGAGGGCACCAAGTACTGATCCATGGTCAGGCCTCCCCAGTCACCAATGAGATGAAAAAAAAAAAAAAAATGGAAAATGAATTCTCATCATGACAGACTGGCTTCATTTAAATGTCTGCCATCATCCTTATCTTTTTTTAATGCTAAAATAAATCTCTTCTTTTATGAAGGAATGGTCACAGTAGATAGCAGTTGCCAAAAGTGTTCTTTCTTGATAAAATAAAAGGTCACAGCAACTCTATTCATCTTAAATTTTGTTCAGACTGTTTTAGATTGTGAATTATTATTTTAGGCTGCTGGGTCTTGAAGGATGAGTAGGCATTTGGTAGGTAGACTAGGGTTTGGTATTCCAGGCAAAGGGAATAGTGATTGCAAAGGCCCAAAAGGATAAGAGGCCATGGCGTGTTTGTAGTAGAGTGGAGAAAAATCTAGTGTCATGAAAGCCTAGAGCCACAAGGAGGGACCAGGGGGATGAGACGCTGGAGAGCCTTGGGAACGCTACACTGAGAAGGGCCTTGTCTAGGCCTCCTAAGCTTCACCCTGTAGGAATCAGTGGGCCTCCGAGACTGGGCTGAGGAGTCATCTCATCAGGCCTGTTCCTCTGAATGTGACTCTGGGTCAGCAGGGGGTAGGGGGGAGGATGGGTGGGGGAGATGAAGTGGGTGTCTGGGCAGTCTGCTAGGAAAGGCCTTCTTGTGCATCATCAGATACCTCTTCCTAGGTATCTCGGGGTATTTCCAAGCTGGCATAGAGCTTGGGGTTTTTGGTGCTGGGATCCCTCCCCCAATGCAGATGGGCCCCAGCGTAGGACCCACGTGTTTCACTAAAGTGGAAACAGAGGTGCAAACATGGCTGTCACAGGAAATGTAAGGCTGTCGTTCTTTTTTTTTAGTTTATTTTTAATTGGAGGATAGTTGCTTTACAGTGTTGTGTTGGTTTCTGCTGTACAATGAAGTGAATCAGCTGTGTGTATACCTATGTCCCCTCCCCCTTAAGACTGCCTCCCACCCTCCATCCCACCCCTCTAGGTCAGCACAGAGCACCGGGCTGAGCTCACTGCGTGATATAGCCGCTTCCTGCTAGCTGTCTGTTTTACACGTGCTGGTGTGTGTCCGTCAGTGCTGCTCTCAGTTCGTCCTACCCTTACCCTCCCCACTGTGTCCACACGTCTGTCCATTCTCTCTGTCTGCGCCTCTGCTTCTGCCCTGCAAATAGGTTCATTAGTACCATTTTTCTAGATTCCATATATATGCACTAATATACGATATTGTTATAGCTGTCATTCTTTAATTCACATTGGGCTTTTAAAACTATAGGTTGGAAAATAAACTCTTTCCTATTACAAAAGTGTACAGAAAGTGTACCTTTTAGGTCCTATTTGGCATGACTGTGAGATGCATTTGTTTGAGGAAAGGCGGTGATTTGCTCTAAATTCTCGGAGAACAGTCTATGGCAGCGGTCATGTTTGAAATAAATAGTGCTACAAGTCCTCCTGTGAACTCTAATACAGCTCGAAGGAAGCCGGGGGTGTGTTAATTATGAGCCTGTTGGAAAAGCAGGTCCCTGCTCTATGCCCCCGTGCAGTCGTGGAGATTATAGTTGTTAGTTATCAGGCATGGTTACCTGTAATTCTCCCAATCTTGTGCTTTCTGCTCATGTAACTGCCAGCGAATCCTGAGACATGTGCACCCAGGCTGTACCCAATTAGATGAACATGGCTTGGAGAAAATTGAACAGATTCCTGGAAGACAGTGGTGAGATGGTTGCAGGAGGGGAGAGCTGCCTGGATAAAAGCCTTTTGTGGGTCCAGCCTGCTTGGTTCTCTGTTCTTTGTACCACAAGTGAGATGCTTAATTCCTACTTAGGACCCAAACAGTTTTCTCATCTTGCTGACTCTGTGCCGTTTCCTCTCAGGCTCAGCTACCTGGGCCCCTGCCTGGTGATGCCACCTCTTGTCTGCCCATCTTTGTTCTTGCTGTTGAGTCGCTCAATTGTGTCTGAGACCCCATGGACTGTAGCCCGTCAGGCTCCTCTGTCCATGGGAGTCTCCAGGCAAGAATACTGGAGTGAGTTGCCATTTCTTTCTCCAGGGGATCTTTCTGACCCAGGGATGGAACCTGTGTCTCCTACATTGCAGGTGGGTTCTTTACTGCTGAGCTATTCCTTGCAGGAGTGATCTCATCCATGCATATGGGAGTTTCATAGTTTACAGGGTGTGTTTCGATCCCCTAGTACATACAAAGAGGTGACCATAAGAGGAATAGATGATTCTACAAGCCAGGGCTTCAGGGAGGCATCCGAGAGAGCCCTGGGGTCTGGTCTCTGTCCTGTGCCTTCCTATTCCTGTGAGCTTAGCAGAAGTGCTTGTCTTGTCTTGGCTGCTGCAGGAGACCAGCCTAATTCACTCAGTCTTGGAGGAAGGGAGGGGAAGGGAGAAGAGGGAAGAGAAGAGAGGTCAGGGCAGGTCTCACCTGCAGCCACTGGAGAAGAGCCGCGATCTCCTGGCCGACGAGGCGAGTGTTGCGGACGGCAGTGGTGTAGTGGTTGTGAGCCAGGGTGACCCATTCTGCCAGCCCCACGTTCACTGGCTGGGTCAGGTGAGACTTCAGTGCGGCTACCATCTGCCAGACCCAGTCTTCCAGTATGCCGTCCACCTGAGGGTAGGCCCGCAGTATCATCAGCCTCTCGGGGAGAGAGGAGGGAGCCCTGGACAAGCTCCCTCTTTTTTCTTGCTCACCTCTTCCCTTCTCCAACTCTGGGCTCATTCTGGGTCTTTCTCTCCAAGAGAAAGGGCTTAACCTGGGGCTTCTCGGCACACTGTCATTTGGGGCCAGATTTTTTTTGTTGTGGGGGCTGTCCTATGCATGGTAGGACATTGAGCAGCATCTCTGCCTCCACCCACGAGATGCCAATGGCACCCCATCACCCCCACCCCCAAACCCCAAGCTGTGAAAACCAGAAATGTCTCTGGACATTCCAAATGTCCCATCCCTCGAATGAGAACCGTTGTCTTAACATTCTCTATTTTAGGACTTTGCAAGCCTTAAAACAATGTAAGTCTTTGTAGATGGGGCACTGAAAGACGACCTGTCCTTTGGGGGTTGACTCCAGCGCTACCTCCTCTGCGAGGCCTGTGCTGCTGCCCCTCTGAGTCACACCTCGCTCGCTCGCTCGCTCTGTCCCCACCCACTGTGTTCTGCTTGCCTTGGAGGGACTAGCACCATGAGCAGGAACATAGTAGAAACTCATAACAATCAAGTTGATTGATTATGGAGAATCATTCTGTCCGTGTACCTGGTTGAGAGCCAGTTTGCAGGACATGCCTGAAGGGTTCACAGAGCAAACATGTTTGTGTTGGGTCTTGAAGGATAAATAGGAATTCGCAGGGAAGAATCAAGGTGGGCAGGTGAGTGCGGAGGTGGTTGGGGGCAGAGTGGGTATCTAAGGGATTCCAGGTAGAGGTAATCATGTCCAGAGGTGTAGAATCACAAAAGGGCAGTGTGGTCTGTCTGGGAAGAGGGGAAAAGTTGAGTGTGATCGAAGATGAGAAGACAGAAGTGAAACTGGACAGGAGTACTGATGGTCTGGCTTGTGAGTAAGATGCATTCATTTAATAAATGTCCATCTAGGACCTTCTGTGTGGATGTAGCATCTTGGGTTCAAATCTAGACTCTTCTAGTTACTAACAGAGTAACCTTAGGCAAGTTATATAACTAGTCAGTGGCCCTGTTTCCTTGTTGGGAAGATGGGGATAATAATAGTGTCCTTCTTCCAGCATTGTTATGACGATGAGATGGATGAATAGACATAAAGCACCTAGAACAGTGCCTGGAACACAGTGAGGACTCAGTGCATGGCGGTTGCCACAGCCGTTGTTGGTATTTTTATTACCAGCAACAGTACATGTACTTCAGTTCGCACAAGATTTTGAAAACAAAGAACTCATTCTAGTGAAAGGATTACAGTGAGAGGACCCTGCTGTCTTCATGTTTGTAAATGAAATATTTAGTCAGCCATTAATTCAGTTAACAAATATTCTTAGAGCACCTAATACATTCAACAGTATGGATCCTGTCCAGCAGAAGATAAGAGAAAGGACACATAGGCAGAAGGCGCAGCCTATGTCAAGGCCAAAGGAGAGAAATCACATGGTCTGTGGAAGGAGCTGCAAGCGGAGGTGAGGGGGAGGGGGGAGCGTGGTGGTGGGGCAGGGTCAGAGGGGGAGTGCCTGCTCTGCTGTGTGCAACCTGCCTTGCCTTGAGGCTCTCAGCTCACGTTCCCCCCTCAGGTCAGGCATCCAATTCCATGCTTTCCTTAAAGGAATAGGGACGGAGCTCCCAGCTCAGCTTGAGAGGTTGCTGTGCAGAGGTTGCAGTGTGATGGGGCCCCGGTCAAGCCCATCCTTGATAGAGGTTTGTGGGCTTTGGAGCGTGAGGGTTCTGGTTTTGGGTTTCTGTCCACCGAGGGCTGTGTGACTGTGGTTGCTGCTTGACCCTCCTGTGCTGCAGTTTCCTCGTCTAAGAGGTGAGACTAACTCAAGTGGCCATGTAGGGAGGTGTGCGGATTAAATGAGCTGACCGCTAACGTAAAGGGCCTAGCTTCTGTAGGGCCTCATCTGTATTAGGTCTCTTCTCTAGGGGCAGGAGAGCCTTTACCACCCTCACTGCCAACCCTGTGCTGTGGTGGAATCCCCGCCCCTTTTCCCTAGGATGCATGTTTGTGTGCTAAGTCACTTCAGTCATGTCTGACTCTTTGTGATCCAATGGACTGTAGCCCACCAGGCTTCTCTGTCCATGGGGTTCTCCAGGCAAGAATACTGGAGTGGGTTGCCTTTCCCTCCTCCAGGGGATCTTCTTGACCCAGGAATTGAACCCATGTCTCTTATGTCTCCTGCGTTGGCAGGTGGGTTCTTTACCACTAGCGCCACCTGGGAAGCCCTAGGATGGGACTCCTTTAAATCCTAGGAGGAAGGTGCTGGCAGTCTACAAGAGGCCCTGTGCTTTTCTGGGATGGCAATAGCGGACACCCCACCTTGTGGCCACACCCACATGGCATCATGTGGTTCCCACTACCCCATGAGGCCAGGTGTGGGGTCTGTTTTGTTTGTGTGAAGGGTATGAGTGAATACATGTTGAAAGACTGGTGGTGGGCAGATGGGCTCATTTTTCTCTCTAAGGTAGGATGGATGGGGGTCTCAAGAGTAGTTTTCAAAGAGATGGTAGGGAAAGGTTTTCAAGTCATGAAATAGACCCCAAATCTCTTCAGGTTTCACAGTGTGAACCACGCTTCAAATTGTGGGTGGCCTAGAAACTAGTTAGGCAGAATTTCTTCTTGGAAACATTTGTTTGACTTCAATCATTGCCCACAATATTCTTTTCCCTCTTCTTCCACAGTAATAGAATTTTAGCATCAATGAAAAGCTATACTTTCTCTAAGAGGATACATATCTCAGCCACCTTTCCATCTAGGTATGGCCAATGGATGTAATTGGAAGCATTTCAGAGGTGCTTCTGGGAAGCTAACCTAAAAAAACACACTTGTATACCAAAAGCCAGTGGACGAATTGTATGGTTTCAAATAATACCTCAATGCAGTTGTTTTTAAACAATACTACTTTTTGACTTTTTTGTGTATATACCTTTTACTACCTTGTGCTACCTGGGATGCAGATGTGATAGCTAGTGCTCTGGCTGCTATCTTGGACTATGAGAATGAGGACCATACTCTAAGGATGGCACCATAGTGAGCAGGGAATGAGCTGGGTAATTGAGGACTTCATTGACTAAAAGCTCTTTATTAGTTTTGGATGACATACATCTGGACTGTTGTATGAAATGGAAAAAGAAAAAAAGCTTCGGTTTTATCTGAACTACTGCCAATTTGGGTTTCTGTTATCTGTAGCTGAACTTAACCCTTACAGATAGAACATCTCATTGGGAGACTGTGTCTTCTGGCTTCCTCTCAACTCTTGGGAAACATGCAGATTCACCTTCATGAACTGCAGTCTCTTATGGGTGCTTATGTGCTGTGTGACCTCTTTGAGCCACATTTTATTATATGAAATGTGGAGATAATTATACTTCCCCTGCCCTGCTTACTCATGAAATTGAGATAATCAATGAGATAATGTGTGGGGAAGTACTTGGAAAATTAGAACGTACTTTACAAATATTATGCATGGAGTTGTTATCACCAGCTCCCTATCTCTTTATTAAAATTGAACACACTATTGAGGGGGAAAAAAAAGTAAAAGCAGAGAGAAAAAAGGCGTGTCAGCACTTCCTACCAACCAGCCGTGGACTATCATCACCAGCGGCAGCGAGGAGTTGAAGCCACACTGCTGTAACGTGTCTGAGTGAGTGAGCCGAATCTGACAGCCCTTATCGGTTTCTCCTCTAAAGAGCAGAAATCTGGTTCTTGTCTCCTGCGATGTTTCGTTTGTTTCAGCAGCTCGAGATCTCCTTCCAAATGACTCTGGAAGATAAAATTGGGGACAGTGCTTCACCTGGCATCTGTTCCACCTCTGCCAGTTCCGGGACAACCCCAACATTTGTAAGAGCACTAGGCAATAAGGTTACTGCAAGGTGCTGGAAGTAGGCCCGGGATGTGGCTTTGGGGAACCCAAGGAGCATTTTATTTCCAGCACAATGGCCATTTCTTTCCTGGGAGATGATGGAGGGTGACCGAGGAGGACCCCACACAGAGATGGAGAGGACCAAATCCTCCATCCTGCCATCCCAGTGACCGTAGGATTGGCCAGTCAGACCCCAGGCTAACTCTAGGTCAGTGGGAAGATGGGAGAAGCAACTGGGACTGAGGTCAGAGAGGATAAGTGTTCATGATTTGGGGTGCCAAATCATGATGCCAATAAGTAGTGGGATTTTGGACCCAGTATCTCTGACTCCAATTGCCTGCATCCCTATGCCAAGGAGATAGCACATAGAGCATCTCAGTTAGATGACACCATGCATTCTGTCATGTGGCTCAATCTGTTCTCACACGTAGTCTTGCATGGACCAGGTAGGATGTGGGTGGGGAGGACTACAAAGAGAGTGATGAATTGTGCTGAGTGGGAGTGGCATTCAGGGAGTGCTTTTCAGGGGGAGTGATGCTGATGCTGGCCTGGAGAGTTGAATGAAGGCTTGTGTGTCTGTATGGGTGGGTGAAAGGAGCTTTCTGAGAGGCAACAGCTGAGGAAGGGCTCAGAGCCAGGAGACATTGTGGGTATAAGGAGGCAGAAGAATGGGCAGCCAGAGTTTATGGGCCCTTGGGATGCTGAGGCTTTATGCTCTAGACGATAAGATGCTGCTAAAGATTTTTTCAGTAGAAAAGGATAAATGAATATCCATTTGGAATCTTTCAAAGATTGTGGGAGGGTGAGGTAGGGAGAAAAAGACTGTTTTTAAGATTATACCTCCTGTTGTTTTCCTGAAAGGCCTTCTAGCTTCTCTTTTAGGGGAGCCTCACCCTGACTCTGAGCCACTTTGTGGAGGGTGAGCAGTCTCCCAACATCTGTCAAGACCATGGTGTTGGTCAGAGACATGACCCTGTGATCATGAGCGGAGTGGAGCCTGAGGGAGGGGCTGTGGTCCCAAGGTGTGGCACCCCAGGACGGGTGATATCTCTTCTGCCAAGATCAGAAATCAGACCAAGAGCCGGGGAGGATGCTCCCACAGCCCCTACCAGCCGAGGGGGGCCTCCCCTGTGGCTGAGGGGTGAACACAAGGCCATACCAGCAGTTTTGGTCAGTGAACTCAGTTCAGCCCAGTTTCTGAGAACCCTGATCATTCCTTCTGAGCACAAAGTCATTCAGGCTTCTCAAACAATAAGTCTTGGGCTTTTGGTTTCTGGGGACAGCAGGACAGAAAGATGATGAAATGACAAAGAGCAAGGAGAGGTATTAATGAAACCAATTTTCCTACCCAAAGGTTATTAATTTGAAAGGTTATTAATTCCCAGCAAAGGGCAATGATTTTTCACAATGATGACAGAATGAAATGCATCATATTTTATTAAAAGGAGAAGTGAGGGAGAATCTGAATAACTTCTCTGAGCTAATGAAGAAAATTTCTGGCACCGAGAGTGGCTTTCCCAAGCTCACAGACTGTCTGAGCTTATCCTCATTCATGCAAGCGTAATCCCAGATGGTGCTCCCATCTCTTTGCATGCACTACTCCCCTGGCCTCTATGTCAGAAGCCAGGGTGTCATCTTACACTATTTTAGCAGCTATTTAATCAGTCCAAAGCTTCAGGTTCCCAAATATCCCTAGAATCCAGTGCCTTAGCTCAGGCACACACTGTTTCTTGCTTGGTTTATTGCCACAGCTTCCTAAACGGTCTCTCTCTGGTTAATCTCACCTCCCTCCCTCACAGTGCTGCTCAAAGACTCTTTCTAGAACAGACATGACTATCGTACCCGTCAGTGACTTTAAGATTCTTGGTATTGCAGCCAAGGCCTGAATGGCAACTCTGATCCGTCAGATTCTCCCCTCTCTACGCTCCCCTGCTGTCCCAGACTGCCTGCAGCTCCCCCATTGCCATTTCACTTCCCTGCAGCGTTGCACTCTCACTGCCCTGACCCTTTGCATTCTCACTTCCCTCTCTGCTATTCCTCTGTGAACTCTGGTCCATCCCTTACAATGGTACTCAGATGTCACCCCCTCCAGGAAGCCTTCCCCTCTAGCCAGAGGTAATTACTGCAGCACCTTACTGGGCCCCTGATCCTAAGGTCAGTTGTTTGTTTCAAGGCATGCTGTTTTCACCACCAGGCTGTGAACTCATGGAGGACAGACCTGAGGATGCTTGGTAACTGCTTAGTGTGTGCCGTAGTATTCTGTGGGGTCCAGGTCTCAGATCAAAGGCTATCATTTGATTTGTCAGCCATTTATGCATTGGGACTCAAGGTAACTAATTTTCTTTTTTCCAGTGATTGAATAGCTTTATCTTCCTTCATTTCAGGATAGGTGACTTGAATGCTAAAAAGACTATATAAAATAAACTGGGGATAGATATAATACCCATCTTGTGAAGTCCTTGCAAGGATTAAAAAAGGTGATATTTGTAAAGACCTTAGAATAATGCCTGGCACACAATTAGCACCCATGTAAGGGTATGTTGCTAAAATAAATGTGGCTCAGAGCCTCCAGCATCTTGTATTTTTGATCCATGAAATTCTTTCCATGAAAATTTATCCCAATTGCCCTCGTAGGACCAATTCTGTCTTATGTGTATTTACTCTGGATTTAGCTGGGAGAATCAGCTCTGGCCCCAGTGCCTGGGACTTTGAAGCATTCAGGAGAGTCCCAGGGAAAAGCAGTTGTTAGATGGAAAGGCTCATAAACACCTGGACTGGGCTGGTCTTTCCCTTTTCTTCCTTAGGGCTTGGCTCTCTTTCAGCATGCGTATGAGTGAGGAAGTTGTATATATATTAATTCATTTAGTTTCTCAACAAATACTTATTAAGCATATGTTATTATATTCTGCCCTGGGCCCTCTCTAGGTACTAGTTTTTGGCAAGCAGGGCCTGATGTCTGTGTTTCAGGACTCCCCAGCCCAGTGGGAAAGGCAAGAGTGAGAATCAGCCATCACTTGTGGTTGCTGTGAGTACTGCAGTGGAAGGACACCTTGCGTAGGGGTTCTAGGGAAGATGCCAAGAGAAAATGAGGCATCGGTTGAGTCTGGAAGGATGAAAGATTCTTTTTTCCTTTTTGCTATTCTTTTTTTAAAATTTATTTTTAATTGGAGGATGATTGCTTTACAATGTTGTATTGGCTTCTGCCATACAGCAACTTGAATCAGCTGTAAGTATACATATGTCCCCTTCCCTTAGGTCATCTCCCACTGCCATCCCATTCCTCTAGGTCATCACAGAGCACTGGGTTGAGCTCCATGTGTTATATAGCAAGTTATCACTAGCTATCTGTTTTACATATGGTAATGTATACATTTCAGTGCTACTCTCTCAATTGGCCGCACCCTTACCTTTCCCTGTGTGTCCATAAGTCTGTTCTCTATGTATATTCCTGTCTTATGTGTACTTGCTCTATTCCTGCTCTGCAAATAGGTAGGATGAAAGATTCTTTAGGCACTCACATCTAGGAGAAATTGTTGAAGAAAGAGGGGCTCTGTGACCTGAGTATTGAAGGGCTGCTATGGGGCAGAGGGCCTAGAATTCTTTTGTGCAACTCCAGGAGACAGAGACAGAGTCAGTGGGTGGGCATGACATGGAAGGAAAATTTTGCCTTTAAGTGGTTTGTAAAAATTCATAGTTGAAGAAATTAGGACAAAGAGAAAGGTGGCAAAACAATGAACAGAAATGTTAATAGATTAGCAAGCTAAACTGCACACTGTGATTGTATAAGACTGCAGAAGACGGGCCACAGATTTTGTTCTGAGCTTCCTATTGGCCAAATCAAAGATGGAAATAGCAGTTACAGAATTCATGCTGTCCAGTTCTCACACTTTCTTGGTCCTGAAGCCTGAGATGGTTTTCCTGTGGGTTGTTGTATGAAGAGGCCACTGCATGAGGCAGGGTCATTGTCTTGAATACTATTCCTGTGAAATATACAGGAGCAAGCTTTATGTAGTTGACTCTGAGATGCATAACAATCTTCAATGGAAGCAGCACCAACAGTATGAAAAATAGCATAAGTCACAGTGAGTCTCTGTAAGGCTCTTTGCTCTAACCCAGCAGCAGTTCTATGACTGAAGGAGGCAAGGGCTACTTCAGGTCACATTTTGGTTGGAAGGAGTAGAGCTTCAGTGCCTGAACGTCTGAGCCACCTTGGAAGCAGAATCTGATCAACCCCTTCATAGAACACATAGAATACTGGAGCAACCTCAGGCAAGCCACAGCTTCAAGGATACACTCAGTTCAGTTCAGTTCAGTTCAGTTCAGTTCAGTCGTGTCTGATTCTTTGCGACCTCATGGACTGCAGCACGACAGGCTTTCCTGTCCATCACCAACTCCCAGAGCTTGCTCAAACTCATGTCCATTGCATCGGTGATACCATCCAACCATCTCATCCTCTGTCATCCCCTTCTCCTCCTGCTTTCAATCTTTCCCAGCATCAGGGTCTTTTCCAATGAGTTAGTTCTTCCCATCTGTTGGCCAAAGTATTGGAGTTTCAGCTTCAGCATCAGTCCTTCCAATGAATATTCAGGACTGATTTCCTTTAGGATTGACTGGTTGGATCTCCTTGCAGTCCAAGGGACTCTCAAGAGTCTTCTCCAACACCACAGTTCAAAAGCATCAATTCTT